TCAGGAGAATCATATGTTATTTCAGAGGGTATCTAAAACCAATAGAAAACCCTTAATTTTAGACACATGAACACACTTTCAACTAAATATGATATATTATCTATTAATGATGCATTAATATTAAGTTAAGATTATAAAAAGTGTATGTAATAACCAGAAACTTAAATTGGTTTGACAACAAATAATGTAGAAAATGGTAATGATAATGAGGAGAATGAAAGAGAATAAGATTTCTATGATATTAATTATGTTAAATAGTAGGAATTACAAATAAAAAATAACCATAATGATGAATAATGATAAAAGTTAAATCAATAAATTATTAATCTTTATAGGTTTTAATAAAATAAAAAAATGTTTTTTATATTTGTCTTCTAGATTTATTCATATATTAAATTCCAAAAAAAAATAATATAAAAATCTTTCGATATTATATGATCACTTTTTCTAATTATTATTAATAATAGATTTTATTAGGATTATCTAATAATCCTTTTTGGTTTTGCTGTGTAACATGTATTTAAAATCATGATTTTAATAAATTAATATATTTTAAATAAAGGAATCTAAAAGTTTTTTTCCTACTGAAATTCGATCTCAAATTATATTCAGCTAATAATATACATAAATAATTAAATTTATTTTATTTTCTTTTTAAATCCTTATTCTATATATTACAAAAATTTGACTATTTGCTATTTTTCAGAAAGTATAAAATGGCTATTCAGAAGAAGTATAGTAATAGAAAAAGTTTTCTAAGATTAAAATTATAATCTATAGATTATTAAATATAATACAATTCATTTATAATAAAATAAATGGATACATTATTCGACTTAATTATTGTAGGATTGGGTTCTCATGGTAGTAATTGCTTTTCACATTTTTCTGGCAAAATGAAAGTCTTAGGTATTGAACAATATATTTCCCCACATACAAAGGGGTCTCATAATGGTGAGACTAGAATTGTCAGGGAGATGGGCTATTCTGGAGAATATGTGGATATTGCTAGAAGATCCCTTGAATTATGGAAGCAATTACAAGACTCAACTAGTGAACAAGTATATGTAAATTCAGGAGGAATTTTATTTGGAGATTAAAGTGATAACCAATTTAGAAATCAAATATAATAACATAATCCAAACCTATAGCAATTGAAAAGTCAAGAAGTTGAATCTAAGTTTCCAATAAAGACATCTTAGGACTAATAATTTTTCTATGATAAATCAGCAGGTTTTGTAAGACCAGAATTAGCAATATCTATCTTTATAAATTAGGGTAGAGCAAAAGGAGGACAGGTTATTAATAATTGTAGATATATAAATCATATATATAAAGGAGATGAAATTCATGTTTATACAGATTTAGGAGTATTTAAGTCTAAAAAGTTGATTTTATCACTTGGAATGGGTCTAAAGAGATTATAAAATACATATCCTTTGGATATTAACATTTATAAACAATAAGTTGTATTCTTCAAAACGGATAATAAGAACTTTGATAAATTACCAGTTTTCATTAGTGAAAATAATTCATTAGAAATTTATGGATTTCCTAGAATAAATGGGGAAGTAAAAATAGGATTGCATCACTTTGGTCCATCTTTAGAACATCCTGATTTATATGATCAAACAAAGAATGAACAAGGAAGTGCCAACTTAATTAGATAATTTTTGATTAAATATATGCCTGAATTAAAGGATGCTATAGTATCTAGAGTAGAAACATGTGTTTATACAAGCACAAAAGATCATAATTTTACGATAGATTTTGATCCAAGATCTAAAAATACAATAATTTTAAGTGCATGTTCTGGACGTAATATATAACTAATAAATAATAGATGGATTTAAATTTTGTATTGTTATGGGAGAAATACTTGAAGAAATGTTCAACACTGGAGTACAAAAATATAAATCATTTTAATTAAACAGGTTCTAGAAGCCTAAATTTTGAATATTGATAACGAATCAATGAATATAAAATTTTAATAAATTAATTCATATTAAATATCTTCATGTAATAAAAAGCAGACTACAGAAAGGAATTAGCAGAAACAGCATAAAAAATCTGTACTCCTGGAAAGGGAATTTTGGCAGCCGATGAAGTAATTAATAATTTCATTGTTAGTCTTAAGGAACTATTGGAAAGAAGTTTGTTACTATCAATGTGGAAAATAACGAAGAAAATAGAAGAGCTTACAGAGAATTGTTGTTTACATCTCCTGGAATTGAGAATTATATTAGTGGAGTGATTCTTTTCTCAGAAACTGTATTTTAAATTAGATACATTTTTAGGTTAAACATGCTACAAAAGAAGGCAAGAACTTTGTTGAATTATTAAAAGAAAAAGGAATTGTTGCTGGTATCAAAGTCGATAAAGGTTTGGGAGTAATTCCAGGAACATAAGATGAATCAGCCACTCTTGGATTAGATTCATTAGCTAATATGGCTGCAGAACACTACAAGCTTGGTTGTAGATTTGCTAAATGGAGAGCTGTATTGAAAATTGGCAATGGATTACCATCCTAATAAGCTATCTAAGAAAATGCTTGGGGATTAGCAAGATATGCTGCCATTTGTTAAGAAAATGGACTTGTTCCTATAGTTGAACCAGAAATCTTGGCTGATGGTGATCATTCCATAGATGTGTGTCAAAAAGTCACAGAAAAGGTCTTGGCAGCTGTCTTCAAGGCTTTGAATGAAAATAATGTTTTCTTAGAAGGATGTCTACTTAAACCAAATATGGTCACTCCAGGATCAACTAATACTGATAGAAGTAAGGTCACTCCTTAAGAAATTGGATATAGAACAGCTTTGGCTTTGAGTAGAACAGTTCCTCCTGCACTTGTTGGAGTCACTGTAATAATCTAGAATTTATAAATAGTTCCTTTCAGGTGGATAATCAGAAGAAGAGGCATCTTTAAATTTGAATGCCATGAATTAATTGACAACTGTTAGAAAACCATGGGCTTTAACATTCTCTTATGGAAGAGCTCTTTAAAATACAGCTGTTAAGACTTGGGCTGGCAAATAAGAAAATTGGGAAGCTGCTTAATAAGCTTTATTAACTAGAGCTAAGGCCAATAGTGAAGCTTAATTAGGTATGAGTTTCTTTTTAATAAATTCTAGGTAAATACTAAGGAGGATAAGGAGGAGCTTCCAATGAGTCATTATTCGTAGCAGATTACAAGTATTGAGTATTATGATATTTCATAAAATAATACGTAATATCGTCATTATTTATTCTAAAAATATCATCATATATAATTTAATGACGAAATTTGGGAATAATATCATAATAATACGTAAATTTGTAATTATTAACGTGGATATTAATTTGTATTAATTTATGTAACAAGCCAATTAATTGAACTCCTCCTAATAACACATATTTTCCCATTTGACTTAAGCTCCCCCTGATCAAATCTTTGGAATTATGAATGCTTATAAAGCAGACACTTCCGATAAGAAGATAGATCTTGGTGTTGGAGCCTATCGTACAGATGAAGAAAAACCATATGTATTTGACGTTGTGAAAAAAATTGAATAAGAGATCATTAACGACAATACATTAAATAAAGTATGAGTGATATATAGAATTATTCAGGAATATTTACCAATTGAAGGTTTGCCTGATTTTAACAAGGGATGTTAGATGTTATTATTTGGCAAAGATAATCCCTTAATTGAAAGTGGAAGAATTGTAACAGCTTAATGTTTAGGAGGGACAGGAGCTCTTAGAGTAGGATTTGATTTTGTTAAAAGACATTTAGTAGGAGATGTCTATGTCTCTAATCCAACATGGAGTAATCATAATCAAATTCTTGACAGAACAGGATTAAATTAAGTAAATTACCCATATTATGATCCTAATACAAAAGGATTTAATTGTTCAGCAACTCTTGATTGTCTATCATAAGCTAAATAGGGTTCAATAGTATTATTACATGTTTGTGCTCATAATCCAACAGGTGTTGATCCAACTGAAACTGAATGGTTATAAATTGCTGATGTTTGTAAAGCAAGAAATTTAATACCATTTTTTGATTGTGCTTATTAAGGATTTGCTAGTGGATGTATTGAAAAGGATGCATTTGCTGTTCGTAAATTTGCTGAACTAGGATTTTAAATGATTGTTGCTTATTCTTTCTCAAAAAATATGGGTTTATATAATGAAAGAGTGGGAGCATTACATATTGTCACACCTAATAAGGAGATTTCTGCAATAGTATTAAGCAATTTAAAAATTGTAATCAGAACTCTTTATTCTTGTCCTCCTGCTATTGGAGGGAGAATTGCAAGTAGGATTCTTTGTAATGAGAAGTATTTTAAAGAATGGATTGAAGAATTGAATACAGTTACAGGACGTATAATACGAATGAGAACTCTTCTTAAGAATGAATTAGATAAGCTTAATGTTTAAGGAAATTGGGATCACATTACTAAATAAACAGGATTCTTTACATTTACAGGTTTGACACCAGAGTAATGTGATAAATTGACATAAGAACACCATATTTATTTACTTCGATCAGGAAGGATGTCAATGGTATATATTCTTATTAATTATATAGGCAGGAATAACTTCTAAAAATGTAAGTTAATTAGCAGAAGCAATTAAAATAGTTGTCTAGAATGAATGTGATATATTATTAAATAATTGAATAAACTATTATCATTGAAGGCTTAGCTCAGGGGTAGAGCGTTGGATTCCAGGTCCAGGGGTCGCGCGTTCAATTCGCGTAGTCTTCATATTTTTTAATTTTAATAAATAAAATTATATATTTTTTTAATTTAAGTTATTTATGAAAATTTATTAGATTATTAGTTCAAATGAATAAAACAGTGACAAATAATATAATTTATAAATTATATTTAAAGAATCATATGGAATTAGATTTTTAAATACATTTTTAATTTCCTATTTTTGTAATTATATTAAAATATAACTAAAAATATTTAATTTCAAAATTTATATATATATATATAAATTTTATTTCAATGATTAATAATTTTTCTTATATATTGTCTTATTGATGCAGTTTTATGGATTATTTATAATGGAATTATTGTTAACATTAATCGATTCTTGAGCATATCACTCAAAATACGAAATACAAGAGGAATCCATACAAAAAAGTATATGAAAAATAGGAATATATTGAAACTAATAAAAAGTATTACTTTTAAGTTTTTATTATTTTATGCATTTTTCTTCACAGAGTCAATTAAGGCTTAACTTATATATTAATAAGCAGCTTTGATATATCTTTCTTACATCAATCTCATATTGTAAGCTTAATTAGTATTAATTTAATTCATCATATAGTTAGTCCTCTTATTTTCAGAAATATTGTAAACTAATTAATAATCATTAGACTCATTGAATTGATTATAAGAGTTTAAAACTTACCTAAAACTTTCGAAGTATTTGGCCATTCCAATAGATAATCCTTATTACAAGACTCCATCATTAAAGTTTAAACAAATATCATAATTGATTTCTTTATCGATTTGTACAATATAATCACAAGGAGTTAAAATGAAGATATTATTGAATACCTACAAGTATTTCAATTTATTTTTACATCTAAGTAGTCTGAATTTAAAATGTCTGAATTGGAAGAATGGATTTAATGTATGGCTGCATCCAAGTTATATAGTTCAGTAATCAAAAAGTTCAGAACTTCAACTGAGGAATTGCCAACAAAAGTATATTTCTCAACTTCTAATGATTTTCTTAAGGCATTATCAGAATACCTGTAATAGCACTCTGAGAAAGAAGTCTAATTAAAAACAGGTATTAACTTTATGATATTGGATGTTTCAGACTAAATTAATAATAATACAAATTACCTAAACTAAAACAAATAAAAAAATGAAATAGGCTGCCATGATAACAATGACTAAAAACAAGGCAAGTATTAAATGCTTATAATTTTAATTGGAATTTCTAAACTTCTTTCTCTTTTTTCTTCCATTTAATAAATGATCTCCTTCTTCTTTTTCTTTATTTTCATTTTCTTCATCCTTTTCATCATTATCTGAGATAAACTATAATATTTAATAATTGTAATGATTACATCATCATCATCATCATCACCTACTTAAAGACTCGTAATAAAATTCTCACACTTTACATATATAGATTTAATTTTTTTTTCATTTAAATCTAAAAATAATTGTAAAGCTGCTTAATTAACTACTTAGATCTTAATAATGAATAAAATAATAAAGCATATTCTAGTATAATTAAATGAAATACTAAAAAAATAATATGATAGATGCTGTAGTTAGAAATGCAGTTACTGAAGTTTCTAATGATTCTCCTCTTGATATTATATTGTATTTAAAATATTCAGCTGGTATAGTTAAAGTTTATGTTAAAGAATTGAAAACATTATATTCAATATAAAATACATCACCATTTTGATCATTAATCTTATCTAAAGAGGTACTATTGATTTACAATGCTTTTGCAATTGAAGATTATAATGCTTCATTAAAAGTGTAATTCTAAGTTCCTCCTTCCAAAGATGCCATTTCAACAATTTACATTTCATAATAATCTTCTACCCATTTATAATCTTTACCAATTTCAGCAGAAACCAAAGTCAATTATTTTTATAATTAAATTAATTATTGCAATTCCTTATCCAACCATCCTCTAAATTATTATTCAACTTTTATATACCCCATCTAAGGATCTTTTAATAATGGATATTAATCATAATGTAGAGCTTTTAAATCTTGTATGACTGATTAGATTCCCATTAAAGTACTTGATCTTTAATTATTTTATGAAACTAAAGGTAAAGAATCCAATAGATTTTAATTGAAATCAGAGTTAATAAAATATTCTAAGAAAGTTATTAATACCAAAACTAATGTCATTATATTTATAAAAATTCTAAAATTGATTGCAGTTCTTGGTATTTTAGATTGAGATAATAATTACTCTAATTGACTTTTTGATCTATATAAATTTATGGTATCTTTTTCATTCTTTTGATCATCTTCATTATTGTCATTCTATTAAAATAGACTCTACATATTATCATCTTCATATTCATCAGATTTAGATTCTTCTATTTCAACAATTCGATCTCCAATTAATCTAACAATTTTTATTCCTTCTCCATAATTTGTTTAACTATCACTACCTTAAACTTGGGGATCAATAATAATTTATTAAGATATTTTTGTTTGATCTTCCCATATGATACTTTAATCTATTTTAACAGTAGGATCTTAAGAATCTAATCCATTTCCAAATTCCAATAAATAAGTTAAATTTTAACAATTAAATTTAAATTAAAATTGATTTTAAATAGTCTTATTTTTTGTATATAATTAACTTTTCTCCTATGATTTAATTTTTTCTAATTTTATAATATACCCTTATAGCTTATTTTAAATAATTTCATCTTCTATGCATTAAAATTTAATTTCTTGAAGGAAACATTAAAATAATACTTGTTATTTATTTTGATTATCAAGTATTTATGAATGATCTATTTCTAAATCTTGTAAAGAATTATGAGATGTATTGGTCTTTGATGATCTAGTTCCAATTATATAACTAACTACACCACCTGCTTTTTATAACAATTCTTCTTTACGATCAAATATATCAGAAAAGATATCTATTATATTAATAGGTTTAATAGTAATTGATTTTAATTCCAATCCAAACATTCTAATACAAGTTGAATTTATATTTTCTATAATACCATTTGTTTAACATAAAAATATGCTTACAGGTTTATGATATATATCTTATTTGATTGTTCCACACATAAAAACACCTGAATTAATAGTTTATATCATTCTTATATTTAATTGACAAGGTATAATGTAACCTTACTTATTTTTAACATAAATAGATTTCTCTTTAACCTAATAATTTTGGTTATTATCTTGAAATTTTTCTAGAAAATTCTCAAGAAAATGATCATGATATTTTGAGAAACTATTTATATAATATTTATTAATACAGATCTGGTTATATTAAATTTAATTTTCTATTCACTAAATCAGTTTTAGCATATCCTAATAAACTACATGCTGCTTTATTTAAATTACTAATAGTTCCAATTTTATCAACATCAGTCAATATTGTTATTGTAGGTAATGATTCATTTTATATTTCTTCTAAATCAATTGCTTTAAATTTATCATTCTAATTCATACGACTTTATTAAATCAACTTTAATCCCATTTCTTCATCATTCATTATTTATGAATAATATTTACCCATTAAACGATTTAATTTAGATGCTTTTTAATTTAATCTTTTTAATCTATTCCATTATTCTTAAACTAAATTTACAGAATCTAAAATCTTAAATCCTAAATTATTAATTCTACCAATATCTGGAATCTCCTCTTATAATTATGCCCAAAAATCAATATATATTAAAGATGTTTTCTCTATTTATTATATCAATTATTTGCTTTAAGTTTAAAAAGCTATTTCAGTAACTAAATCAACTTAATTTAAATTCTCTTATTATTATTCTTATAAATCATCTTCCATTATTCGTTTATATCTATATATAATAAATTCATGATCAAAACTTGGACCACTAGTTTCTGCTTATTGTAATTCACTCAAAGCTTATTATTTTAACTTTAGTCTGTCAATTAAAAAATATGAATAATTTAATCTTAAAAAAACATCTTATGGAAACTGTTTAATACCATCATAATAGATTTAACTAATCAATTCTATAAATACAGTATATCTTTCTATATCCTAAAGAGTAGCATGTTTATTTTTATCATTTAAACTCTTTTTTGCTTTTAATATACAATCATTTCTATAACATGTTTGTTTATGTATTTCTATAAATCCATCTAACATTAATAATGAATGTTAATCATTCTTATCCAATAATTATAATAAATATTCACATAAAATAATTATTTATTATCCTGATGTTGCTCTATTGATATTAGAACTCAATAAATCTACTTCAAATAATTGTTCATTTATTATAATCATAATAATTAATGGTATACCACCCACCCAACCCCAAATAACATCTCTAAAATATTGACCTTCTAAAAGATAAGCAAATATTAACATAATAGAAGTCCACATATTCAATGCTGTAATTATAGACCATAATTTTTATACAACTTTATTATAAAAAGGCTTTTCTGTATGAATTTAATAAAATAAAAAAAAACTTGATATTGTGAATATAGTTAAAAACAAAGAGCTAAATCTTGGTGTTTCAAGTAATTAGTATGACATTATAATGATAAAAACATTAATGTGATAATATGAAAATGGTCTTCCTGATCTTTATGCATAAGCATTTCCATAAACACATTTACTCTCAAAATATATTAAACATGTTGTGCTAGTTAATATCTGAAATAGAAGGATGCCAATGATTGCAAATATAGCATGAATATAGTGATCATTCCCCCAACATTCAACATCTGCATTATAAGACCAAATCTCAACACCATCACTATTAACTTTACAAGAAAGAATCTATTATATGTAAAAATGAATATTGTACTCCAAAAAATAAAAGCATAATAGGGAGAAATCCTATAGTCAGAAATAACTTTAACAATGATTTCAATATTAATAATGGAAGTACAGCAACCTTAAATGCAAATGCAAATATTATGAATAATGCAATAGATAAAATTACTAATCCAAAGAAAGTGTAAAAAATTGCTAAATAAAGCTCTAATTTTTATTATCTTAAGTGAGCACTAATAACAAAATAACTTATAATATATTTAAATTATTACGATAGAATTTTACTAAGATCTGTTGCTGCTTGTTAATTATTCCATACATATGATATTTTAGATCCAAAAGCCAAATATGTTAACTGTAATAATTAAACAATTGAAAATAAGATTGCTACATATAATGATTCTTCACCCTATTTCATCATTAAATAAACTACTCTAATATATATATATGTTTGTCTATTTACTTATAAATACTTAGTTTTATCTCATTGATTAATCTGATTATTTAAGATATATTTACATCAGATGATGAACGATTGAACATTCTTATTATTATAATAATTATCTAAATATTAATTTTGAGATTTTGCAATTCAAATAAAATTGCTTTATCATTATTTTAAAAAAAGTAAATACATTTTGATCATGAGTCTTAAACAAGAATTTACATAAACTCTTTGGGATTAATTTAAGTTATCACTATTTAAGTATACATTTCTCATAATCCTAGTATTGCTTATTAAATTATTGGCTAAAATAACCAATCTTTATAAACAACCTGTTTAATATCTCTAATCTAATTTATTCAGCTTTTATATTTTCCTTTTTAAATATAGCTTTAATTTGCATGGCATAATATGAATCTATCAGGGGAAATCTAAAAGTTTTTATAGTATTTCACTTTCTTAAGAATTCTTAACTAACAGAAAACATCCATTTATTTAATAGGAATGTATTGTGCTGTAAGTATTGTTCTATTAATTGCAATCATTGTATTATTGGCGGCTATCATAAAATAACTCTTGAATAATTAATTTCTTATGCTTATACTAAGTATTGCTTTAAAATTAATCATGACAGCAGGATTTGTTGAAATCTTGAGATTGCATTTAGGAGTACATTCTTATTTATATAATATAGTTTTTAATTTGTAAAAGAGATTATACAGGAGAATTAAGAATGTTTTATACAACTGATTAAGTATGTTGGACTGGCAATTATATTATTCATGCTTGTATAGTTATATTTTCATTAATTGTTTTAATCTTTATTGTAATTATTGGATCTAAATTATTTATTGAAGTTAGAAATAATAGAAAGAATACATTTTCATAAAGAGAAGGATCTACTTACACATTTTTATATGTGTATGTATCATTATCATTGATAGCTTACTCATTAATAGAACTACCTAAATACACTATGATTGTAATCTTAATTTAAGTTTTGACAAGTTTTCTTTTATTTTATAAAATAAGATTCAAAAAACCTTTTTATAATAGAAATATTTAAAAATTATGGTAAGCTATAAGTGGTTTAGTTTTTTATACAAATTTTATGCTATTAACTACATTTACATTTGAACATTTAGTATTTATTGATACAATGAAGGGTTGGATTGTATCAATGCCAATGCTTTTGGTTATTCTATTATAAGATGATAGATAAACTATAAATTTGTTATAAGCTAATATGATTTAATAACTTTCTAGTTAAGAAATAATATAGCTTTCTGAATTTTTGATTGAATTATGTGAATGTTTTGAAAAAGATAAAAATAAGGAAATTCTTGTATTAGGTTTTTTGGAAGTTCATAAATAAACTTGTTTAAATCCATAATGTGCTATTAAGACATCAATTGAATTGTCTAAAAAATTTAAAGATAATCTTAAATATACAGATAAAAGAATGATTTTAAAAGAAATTATTGATTAAATTTATTAACTTGGACTTTAGACATATCCACTTAGTGTTGAGTTAAAGTTGCATTATTCTTATTTCCTTTTAGACACTCTAGAATAAGGTTAAAAGGCATTAATTGAAGTAGATAAAGCAGAAATGTGTAATCCATCTTTTGCATAAGAATTTTTAATATTTAAAATGAGGAAAATTATTGATTAAACATTTTAAAAATCAGCAACAAAAAATTAAGTTAAATACATTTAAACAATTGATAGAAGCATGAAATATTAATATAAATAAATTAAATAATTAACTGAAGAATGTGCCTATTATAAAATATAATTTTGGAATACTTTACTTGATGAAAATCCAAATTTATCATATATATAAAAATATGGAAATTTAATTCTTAAATAGATCCATTTATTAAAAAAATAATTATTCAAAATTCAAAGAAATAATCATTTAGATGTATCTATTTATAGACTTATAGAAAAATTTTCTAAATATGTTCATAAATTAGAAAATTATAAAGGTTTTTAAATGGGAAATAAATAAAAAATAACTTCTTAATAATCAGAACATTAATATTTAAAAAATTAAGATGAATTAAGCACATATTCATATCCTGTTATAGTTTTGGAATTGTTTGGTAAAGCCAATTAACCAACAATAATAAAAAATGTGAATTAAGCTTTCCATTCTTTATTAGGATATTCTAAAACAGATGTTATTGGTAGACCATTATCATTAATCTTATAAAATACGTATTTAATTTATAAGATAATATAGATATTTAAAATTGCATAACATTTTTGTTGAATCTTATTTTTCTTAATTAAGATAAGATTAAGTTTATGAAACAGAAGAAAGATCTTAATTTTTAGTTTCTAAAAATAAATATGTTCTCTAAACTTATAGTATTAATTCAATATACATATCTGATAAAGGTGTATTTTAATTTTGTAGATTGAGATAAGATCAATGCTATAATTATTTTGCATACTTAATCTTTAATTTAGATGGCAAAATAGAGAGTATTTCATCAACTTGCATATCTATGCTCAATTTAGACATACGTTAATTGTAAATAAGATAATTAACAATATAAAAATTATTCCCTTACTTAATGTATAATAAAGAAGATTATATTAATAAAATGAATTTGATTGTTTTTGAAAATCTAACAAATTCTCTTAATAAAAGTTCAGATTTTGAAGAAAAATAAAATGACTAATGTGTTACTAAGTAATATTATGCATAATTATATGAAATATCTAATAAAAATTACTTATTTTCTTAAGCAAATTCTAGATAATAGATTTATGGATATTATTTAAAAGTACAATTAAATGAAGTCTGTTAACCAAAAGAGGATTATTATTTAATCAAAAGAAATATTCTTAAACATTAATTTAAGTTTTCAATTGAGCAAAACTAATATATCTGTATATTAAATTTTATTATAATTGTAGTTGAACATGTTAGCTAATCAACTTCTTAATATGAATCTATTAAAAATGAAAGTGAAGTTTAAGATGAACCAAAAGTTTGTATGTTTACTTAATAAAGTTTTCCAAGTAAAAAGTTTGTTTCTATGACCAATCTTAAATTATAATCAGGTTTAGGCTATGACATTAAAACTTTGAGATTATTTTAAGGAGAAATTAAGGAAATTATTGATCTAGATTAAGATGAAGATGAAGAAGAATAAATTAGAGAAAGAACTTAAAAATTACAACTTGAAGATGAAAAAGAATAGCCTCAATAAATCAAAATATGTAATTAAGAAGACTTAATGTATTATCTCTTAGGTGTCCCTTATTCTCCACTTTTAAAGAAACTTATTATTATTCTTAATGCTTTAATGATTTTAATGTTTATTATTGCTATAGTAATGTATATGGTCATTATTCAGACTCAAAGTTAATTTGAATCAGCAATAACTCTCTTAGCAGCATCTAATTAAAGATTTGCATCAATACTAAAGATTTAATCAAATTTATAAGATTTAAGAGGATGTTATTTAAATCTTGAAGAATATACTATGAAATCTACAGGAGGTAGATATGTTTAAATAAATTATGCTGAATTTAGCAATGAATTAGATGTTTTATTACTAACTGATAAAATTTTAACTTCAGCTTCAATTTAGATTAATAAAAATTATCAAACAGTTTTTGATGAATTTTAATCTGCTAATGTGTAAATGTTCACAAAAGATAATAATTCTTATAACTTTACATTTACTTAAGCAATAGAATAAATGATATCTAAAGCTATCACCTTAAATAACTCAAATATATCATCTTTTATAGATGAGAATGAAGATTTTCATTATTATCTTCATAATACACTTAATTCAATTCCGAAATTTTAATTAATTTCATAAGCCTACTATTACTCAAATATTTTAAGTTTAATAGATGATTTATCTATGGAGGAAAATTTATTTTTTACATTCTAAATCTGTTGTCTTATATTAATATTTATATTCTTTTAAATATATGTTTATTTTCATTAAAAAGATATAAAAGAGATTATATCTTTGTATTTAGAGATTAGAGATAATTAAATTAAAAAGATGATTAATTAATTTTAAACCTTTATTTAATTATTATAATTAAATGAGAATGATGAAGTATTTATAGATTATTATTATAAAAGATTGAATCAATAGAAGATGAAGATGAAGTATAAGATGAATAAGATTATTATTTAGGAGTATCAAATAAATATAAAAAAAGAAAATCAAAATTTGAGATGGATAATTATCGAAAAATACAAATTAACTTCCTATTCTTTCTTACTTTACTTGTTTCCTATTTTTCTTATTTATACTTTTCATCAAGTGTAATATATGTATCTAATTACAATTTAGACTATTACTGATTAAACTAAGTCTTTAGTACCTTTAGTGAATCTAACATCCTTTATGCCAACATAATATAGATTAATAGATAATAGTATAAAAGAGATGCTTTATGATGAGAATGCTATTTTATTTAATGAATTTAATTCAAATCAAAAGTTATAAAAAGAATTAGAAGAAGTCAAACTTTTAGATGCAGAACTTCATGCTTTGAATTAATAGAATGAATTAATTCTATCTGATCAATATAAAAAGGTTTTTAATGAAATTTATATTCAAAATCCATGTGATATCATATTAGCAAATGATCCATCTGTAAATTCATCAGCATGTTTAAATTTTAATAAAAATATTTTATAAGAGGGTTTATCTATTGCAGTAACTAATTTTTTTGAAAATGCACAAAATATGTTACAATAATATTCATATTATGATAAAAATGCTGTATATAACAATTTAACTTATAATATCAGTTCATAACATCGTTAAAATTATACATGTAATATTTATAATACAAGGATCGGAAATGCAAATAGAAAAATGCAAAAAGTATTTATAAGAGTGTGTCATATGCAATTATTAGAAGAATTACAAAATTATTTAAATTCACATTATTCAGATTTGCAATTACAATTTACTTTACTATTC